AATGATAATATGAGTACTCATATGATACTCAGCTGTCTTGTAGGGTAATATTACTAGACATATGTATACACTCTTATTTTTTACTTTTCGTAAAAACAACTGCGACTGCAATATGAATGAATTTCAACTCCATAGTTTTTAGTTTATTAAGTTTGTAATCAGCTTTTTAAACTGATATAAAAAAAGATGTTTATATTTCTTTGCTTAAAACCACAAATTTATTTTTATTTTATTCGCATTAAAGGAAGACTACAAAACTAGTTTGTTAGCATATTATAAATAATGGTAATAATATCCCGAAATATTCCGGGATCCCGGGATAACCAATCTAAGATCCCGAAAGCCCGGGATTCACAAAATGGTCCGGGATTGGATGCCTTAACCCCAAGCTAATAAAAGCCAGGTAAAAATATAACCATTAAATAAACATTAGAAAAATAGCCAAAACTAGTCAAAATGCCACTTGACTTAATCAGCTGACCACGAATGTACATATATGCTTGCAAGTGTTCTAATTTTGACAGTGCGAATTTCGCTGTGGTGAGTTCGCCGGGCGCCGGCATTGTGTTTCGTGTCTCCTGAAGAAATCCGATTTGTGAGTAATATTTATGTTTCGTATATTGTTATTAAATCTTCAGGGGTGATTTGATAACCAGTAACTGGACAGGTCATACGGCTTTTCAAATGTGAAATTATACATTTCCAACAGTATACATATCCCGAAACGCTACATGCAGTTGGAGTTGTTATTTTCGTAAGACATACGGGACAATCGCCTTTGCGGTATTTTTCCCTCTTATCGATAGAACTCTTGAGAGGGTTTGGATTTTTTAATGATCCACCCATTTGATGACGATGATCGTTAGAATACCACCAATGAATGAATTGCAGAAAAAATGCTAACACCTCCAGAATTTTAAGAAAGATGTAAGTTGTCCTATCATTCGGCGGTTCAATAGGGTATCGCAAGGTCAAACTTAGTGCTCGGAAAATTGACGAGTGGCTGGAAGCGTATTTTATAAGATACAGGAATGTATGTACTGCTTTGGACGCATGATATATATTTAAAATTTTCAGTAGCTGTCGCTGCCAAATAAATGTATCATGCTGTGCACTGCGTGCTTTAAGCTTTCGTTCCAAGTAAGGCAAAAATGTGACAATACCGGCAGATATCACTTGCTGTCGATGCGTGATAAGTTTATCCGATTCTAAAGATATGCGTTGTAAACCGTAGAAACTCTCTCCAAATGACGAGCCCCGATTTCGCAAATATAAGTACTGTAGGGCCAAGGTTAAAACAGAAGAAACTTCTTCACTTAGTCTGTATGCACCGAAAAGTTTGAAGTCCAATCGAAAATAAAGGTAGTTAATTATTTTACTCAGTGCTGGGTAGATAAGTGTGTCCAATGTTTCAGCCGCTCTTATTTCGAAAATCGATGGCACATTTTGCAAATTTTGCCGTAAATTCGCATTTTCCGACATAATTAGAAGGAAATTAGAACCTCAGTACATCCAGTAAAAAAACTGTGGTGAAGTCCTTTATGGGATAAAGTTTCCAGAGGTGAAATTTTAGGTAGCACACAATTTCTTACATGCATGGTTGCTTTTCAGCACTGATGAAAGAAACTTAAGAAATATTTGAAAAAAAGTTCATATAGTACATTAATTTTGAAAGAAATACCATATAATGTATGTACTCTGGTTAATAATATCAAAAAATGTATTAGAACCACCGTTTAATGTTATATTTAATACAAATTAATATTGCTGCCCCGAACGCTCTGCGCCTTGCCACTGAATAATAGATTTACTTAAAATTACATCCCTGGTCCTTGTTCTTTCTGTATCGCATCGTGGTGAATTCACATTTCTCAGAAATTTGACAACAAAACAAAACAAAGCGAGTATTTTATTTGCTAATTTTTGCGATTTCTATTGTTTAATGTAAATTTGTCTTTTTAGGATATGTCGAGCCAACAAAGAAGGCGCAGTTGGAAAATTTAGTAATTAGTAATGAAGTAGCAGGCATATTTGAAAAATTATGCCGATAAACAGGATGGAATTTGGGAAAGTAAGTGCATTGTTGCAGCATATCTATGTATAAAAAGTATTTAATTAAATTGTTTATAGAAATGTTATAAATCGAGTGGCTCATTTACGAACTTTGGCGAACTTTTTTTCGCCTTTTCAACGTGCTAAGTAACAAGTTAAGATGACTGCCATCATGGGCCGGTAAGAAACCGCAAGCAAAGGGCAGACAACCTTCCAGAAAGCTGCCTCCTGTCCCCGAGCCGAAGCTGCAGTTCAGCAAGAGCAGGTCAGCAAATTGCTACCCTGATCAAACGTAAACTAAAGCGCTCTGCTGTGATTGCACTCCGTAAATGTGAAAACTTGGTGCATGCTGAGAAATATCAAACAAGAAAACTCCGTGATGGACGCCGTGAGATGGAGTAACGCTGTGTGGCAAAGAAATGCGGCCAATTCGACGGGCCTGAAAAATCCAAATTGGCTTTTGTGATCCGCATCCGCGGTATCAACAAAGTTGCACAAAAAGTGCGTAGTTTTACAGTTCTGTCTTCGCCACATTAAAACGGTGTGTTCATTAAATTGAGCAAGGCAACCTTTAATATGCTACGTATGCCGAACCCCCTATATGGGGTTATCCAAATCTTAAATCAGTTTGTGAATTGATGTACAAACGTGGAATGGTCAAGCGTGTCCCAATCTCTGCTTTGTGATCGAACGCAAATTTCGCGAAGCGCACGAAATTCAATGCGTTGATTCACTTCACTTCAAGAAAGCCCCCAACTTCCTGTTGCTATTCAAGCTCAACACATCAACCCGAGGCTGGCGCAAGAAGGCTAATCACTACATTGAGGTTGGTGATTTCGGTAGCCGTGAGGATAAGATCAACAAATTGCTGCACAAGATGGCTTAAAGAAATTGTTGTTTTGTATTTAAGTAGACAATATAATTTGGCACATCTTCAAAAGACGCCCAAGCAAAAAAAAAAAGAAAATAAAAAAATTCCTGAAGTTGCCTTTTCACGGTTGGTTAAACGACAAAAATCGACCGTGTAAAGGTAGCTTAAATAACGTTCAAATTAATCACCCCCTTTGAGATGGAAAATACCAATAACCATTTCATAATTTCGAAAATTATTCCATTTATATTTGTTCTTGCATTTTCCACACTACTTGTGAGGTATGCTTTTACGCGCGTTACCGATTTTTTTTTTAATGTGCTCGGTTGCCCAGGAGGCCTATTTTCACCTTTACAACTTAAGAGCGTGTGTGAATCGGTAACAAAGAGCGTGTGTGAATCGGTAACAAAGTTCGCGGCAAGTAAATTTTTGACAAGTTTGAGGTGAATAAAATTTCAGTAGCCCATGAGGCTAGTGAAATTTTTGACAAATGCATAGAAAATCTTAACAATCGCAAATATTGTTGCTGTGAGTAATTTTTCGTAAAACAAAACCTTAAATTGATGAAAAGCAATCAGTGATGGTAGATGTTTTCTTAAAATATTAATTTCACTTCAATTTGTAATAGTTTATTCCAAATAAATCTGCGGTTATCAAAAATTTACTGCTGTCAAAAAAGAGATCATTTCACACAGCAGATTGGCAAAACTGTCTCACCATAGTAAAAATATTATTCAACAGCTTTCCCCATAGAACTTTATTACCGATTCACGCACGCCCTGAATACCAAATAGGCTCAAAATCCAAGTTCACCACCAAAAGTCACTATTATACTAGGTTCACATATAAGTAGATTATCCTCATTTTCGAGCTTAAC